TGTGAATTTGCACTTGGGAAATGACCAGGATCGTAACAATTGGTATCGGAGCGGACTTACTTGCTGGCGAGAGGTGTTAGTCACCCTAACCCTAATTCCGAATTAGGTTAGGGCTAACCTAATCTCGGATTAGGGTTGCAAGTTAGGGTTAAGTGGGGCAGCGAGGTATGGGGCTGCTGCCCCCACCTGGTTAGGTCATGTAGGGTCGACATTGGACCCAACCAGGTTGCTTGAGTGAATGTATGGGGTGGCGAGACACAAAGGAGGCCGATTGGAGTAAGCGAGAGGGAGTAGAGAGTGAGAGGTACTCGCACCTGGAATCTGGACTTCAGGAAGACATCGAGTGACTTTTGGGCTTCCCCTCAAGAGGGAGACTTGATCGGAGGCTGCCATATCTGCATCGAATTGCTGCAGGTTGCTACTTTGGTCTTCAGGCATCGACGGGGGATCCGGCTTTGCAACAGGGGTGTAGGAAGGCCCTCTTAGTCATGCTACGACACGTGTAGTGGTAGCTAGGGGTCAGGAGGACTTATATGAGAGGGGAGTGACTCGTTATCCATCTTTGGAGGCCGGGCCTCACAGGTAAGTGCCGTGTGACCTGGGTAAGCCCGTGGGAGGTTGCTTGGTGCTTCATGGCCTGTTGAGGGTGTGTTGGGTTCTCTTCCTCTTCTCCGCGGTCTTGGTTGTGTGTGTGAGCATGTGGATTGCTTTCTCACCTGATGGATGGAYGGATGATGTATCTGTGCTAAATGACATATCTTTCTACGGTGGATTGTCTTTTCAATTCTGAACGGCTGTAGGGGCGAGTTCTTGTTGAAAGTTGTCTTTTCCTTTTCAGTACGGTAGAGACAGTTTGGGACTGACTTGGTACCCCTGTCTCGTTAGACCTGGTCCACGACCTACTTGGGACCAGTGGGACCAGGCCCAACGGGACAGGACCTTTCGGGCCCAGATCTGTTGCCGCTAGTGCAATTCTTTGCTGTGCTGAATCTGGGGGACACGCGGACAGCAAGGGCATTCCTTTCAAGGGGATCTTGACTGGTCTTACCGCATGTGATCACATACTGCCCCGCGTCTGGCTCGGCGACCGTCTGCACCCCTCGAAATCTCCATTTCTGCAGATTGGTCTTCTTCGTCTAATTTATTGTAATGCATGTCCCCTGTCAGGTTAGACAAGAGGGGATCTCCAACTGATCTGATCGGGCCCGTTCTATAAATCAGACCTCTCTGCTGTTTTTTTTTTTTTTTATTTGTTTTATTTATTCTTCTGCTGCGTGCCACGCTCTAAGTCCAAATGATTCGCCGCTCCAGCTAGGAGTTCTACCTTCTTTTCTGAGTGGTTTTCTGTTTGTTTCTTTTATCTGAACTATCTATGTCCGGTATCGAGACGCGTGCCCAGACAGCGAAAAGAGAGGAAAGGGAGAGAGAAGGTGTGCTGTTTGAGAATGTGAGAAGGGGTAAGAGGAGTGTTCGTCCAAACGTAAGGAGAGAGCGGACCCCTCGTGAGAGTTCTACTGACACCCCTACCTCCGGCATGGCGGTCATCACATCTGACCAATGGCAGGCCATGCTGGACACAGCGGACGAGAGCCAGAAACTGTTCTTTCAAAAATTGTATGATGATGCCGTGCAGAGGGAAAGGGAGGCAGCGGCAGCAGCTAGAGCTGCCGACATTGCTGATCAGGTGGCTCTCCTTCGGATCCCGGAAGCCAATGCTGACCGGTTCCAGGAGGAACTAGCTGCTGCTGTAGCAGCCTTGGTCCGACTGCGGACCTTGGAAAACCTTGAGTCTCGTATGACAACACTTCAGCAGCGGAACGAAGAGCTGCAGGCTAAAGTAATTAGCCTTGAAGAGTCCCAGTTGCCTGCCTCCCGCCCTCCTAACCCCTCGATCTGCTATAATCCCAACCTCTCAAGCCAACACAGCCCTCGTGCCAAGGGCAAGCGGAACTGTGGCAAGCGCAGGAACCGGCGCCAGCTCCTCGAGCAGCAGCACCGGCAGTTCTGCGCTGGTCACGGTCCCGAATGCAGGGACTTCAGCCCAAAACGCCACAGTCCTTACTGGCGTTCAGTACATCGGTCCCATGGTGGACAAGCAGGCGGCCACGCTGTCGTCCAAGTACGACGGGAAGGCAGACATCACCTCTTGGATTAGTTCCATGCGGTCGTACTTCGAGGTCATGCGGACACCGCAAGAGGACCGAAGTATGATCATGGGAACTAATACCGAGCCTGCCGTACGAAACCTCATTGAGCTCCAAGCTGTTGCTGCAGGCTATGAACGCATAGACCTGACTGATTGGTTGAAGGTCACCCCTGCTCGTGCCCTTGAGGATCTTCTCCTTGACCGGTACCGAGATAAACATGCTGCGCTCAAGGCTAGGCTGAAACTTGAGGCCCTCAAGGGCCAAACATGGAGGTCATCCATGCAGGCTTTGGAACAACACTTGACTGGTCTGTTCACCACTCCGGATCTAGGAATGACCGACGTATCTTGTATGGATGTAGTCATGGGAGTGGCCCCTATGGAATACCTCTCCGCTAGCACTCAAAGACCATGCTACCTGGCGAGAGCTCATGAAGGACCTAGTCGACCTAGAGGCCGAGGACCTCGCCAGGCGCAAGAAGGCGCCCGCTACAGGTGGGAAACCACAACGCAAGCGGTTTGGAAGCAGCAACCAGCTTGCACTGCATGATCATCGGGAGGCTGAAGATCAGTGTTATGCGGATGATCTGTCTCTAGATGACGATATAGAGCCAGACTCCGATACGGGCTGTTCCGCATCAGCCACTGAGTGTGACAGAAATGAGGATGAGAAACTTAATGCATTCAGAAAGACTGCTTCAAATAAGGGGCCTAACCGTGGTTCAGGTAAGGGAACTGTCTTACACCTTCCCAAAAATGCTAAGATCCCTGAGAAACCGGAGGACGCTTCTACGAAGCCTTGGGAAGCCCTCCGCATCAACCAAAAAGAATGGGAAAGAAGGTCCAAACTGCGCATATGCTTGCATTGTCAAAAGCCTGGGCATGCTGTGCAGGATTGCTATCGTCTTCAAGGAAACAGGCAAGGGGCGTAGAGGAGTCATCAACACTCTCTACAACAAAGGAAGCTAAGCAGTCAGTTGCAGGCCCTTCCGAGGAGCCTGGATCTGGCCAGCAGCTTGCTCTTGAAGCCCAAACTAATGCTGATTCCGAGGCTGGTGCAGTCCAAGTGTTATACACTGAGCCTTGGGAGGAGTCTAGAGAAGTTGACCTCCACGCCCACATGGAACATTGGCTGCAGCTCAAGCAGCAAAGCCGTGTTCAGGGGAGCGTGGAGCTGACTTTCTTTAAACTGCTCATTAACCGTCGATACATCCGTGTGCTGATTGACAGTGGTTCGACCACTAATTTCTTCTCTCCGAACGGGATTCGTAAGGCGGGCCTGGGTATGAAGCAAGTGGA